AAAACTGCTTTGGGCAGTCGGCTGTCACTCATCCGGCGCACATGTCCAGCCCATCGCAGTTGTGATGATGTAATAAGGGCTTCAACACTGACAGAGCCAGCTCGTTGGATTACCTCTACATCTGCGATTCGATCCTGCCATCTGATGTGTAAAATGGCACGTAGATGACGTAGCTGAACTCGTGTGAGTATTTTGATCTGTCTGCTGTAGAGCGTTAAACACTCGGTGGCATAGAGCAAGCAAGGAAGTACAGCAGCATTGTAGACTTTCACTTTTGTGCTGTACGAGATGTCGTGACAGCTCCAAAGGCGCTTCTCGAGAGAGCCAAAAGCCTTGGTAGCAGACTGAATTCTCCTCTCAACTTCCAGATCTGAGGAGTTTGTGTAGGTCACTGTACTGCCAAGGTATGTGAAGGCCTTGACAGATTTCAGGGGCTCTCCATGTACCATCACTGGCTGTGGCTCTCTCATATTGTTGGAACCCATTGGGGGTGGTTGATACAAAAGTTCGGTCTTAGAGATGTTAATGTTCAGTCCGAACAAATCTGCTGCCCACGAAAACCGGTTTACTATATGTTGCATGTCCTCAGCGTTGTTAGCCACGAGAGCAGAGTCATCTGCATAGAGCAGCTCCCGGATGCATAGTTCTCTGGTCTTGGTGGTTGCTCTAAGTCGGGCTAAGTTGAAAAGCTTGCCGTCTGTCCTAGTGCGAATAAAGATCCCCTTGTGCAGATCAAGGCCCATTGAATCTAGCACAGCTGTGAGATATAGCGAAAAAAGCGTCGGTGCAAGCACGCATCCCTGTTTCACACCATGGTTAACTTCAAAGGCTTCACTGGGTTCCCCACCAATGAAAACTTGTCCTTTCATCCCTATGTGAAACTGCTTGATGATGTTGACAAGCTTCTCGGGGCATCCATAGATCTGTAAGACTTTCCAAAGAGTTCTTCGGTCGACCGTGTCGAAAGCCTTTGAAAAGTCTACGAACACCACAAAGAGAGACTGATGTTGCTCCACTGCTTTCTCCTGTAGCTGCCGTAGAGTAAAAATCATGTCAGTGGTAGATCTTCCCGACCTAAAGCCGCATTGACTCTCTGGTAGGACTTGCTCGGCGATGTTTTTGAGCCGACTGAGTATAATTTTAGCCAGAGCTTTGCCTGTTATGGCTAACAAGGAAATGCCTCTGTAATTTCCACAGTCTGCTCGGTCTCCCTTTCTCTTGTAGATTGTGACAATCAGTGCATCCTTGAAGTCCTGAGGTACACACTCATGAACAAGGCAGCTGTTAAAAAGTTTCAGGAGCTCGTCTCTGAGATAACTTGTATCAATAAATATATCAAAAGTGTCACTGACAAAACCTTATTATCTTCTATTTTTAGTCTTAATTCCTCTAATCTCTACCAGTGGAGGAAGAACTCAGATCTTTTTACTAAAGTAAAATTAATAATATCATAATGAAAACGTTTTTAATTACATATGTACAGTACTTTATACTATTTTTAAATAAGTAGTAAGCAAAATGTAGTGCTAAACGTGAAACATAGTGTTATAATTATATAAAGTATTGCTTGTGTAGCGTAGCGTTAGGCAGAATGAGCTTTAACACTGTCTACACCGGACGCGGGCGTTACTGCTCGCGTCGCAACAGCTGTTAGACGCGAAAAAGCGCCCGTTACAAAGCAGAAAGCGCCCGTTACAAAGCAGAATGGGCCATCAGTTTACTGTCGGAGATCTGTCGCTCGCGCAACGCATTTTAATCAATGATTCATCAACCAATTGCCTGGATTTAATAAATAAGAAGTAAATATAGCAGACAATATAATCAGGACTTCTAGGCTGCGCGCTTTCCCTAGTCATCACAAGCTCACACAATACGTGACAGAGGCTGGCAGCAGAGAAATCCATTCTGTGAATTACACTGCGCAAATCAAAAGTAATAGTCTACTACCCACCGGATGAAGAAGGGTTGGCTCTCAACAGAACATAAAATATTCATTTTATTTTATTTTTCGTGTTCGCATTTATGAGGAAAAAACAATGTTACGGACGTGACAAGCTCTGAAAGCGGCACTAAAGTGCTTTAAAACTGCTGAGACCTCGCTCAAACAGAAAGCACAAACCCTTTCATTAAAGTGAATTTCGTTTTGTATTAATTGTAATCAATGTTTCATCAACCGATTGCCTGCATTTAATAAATAAGAAGTAAATATAGCGGACAATAGATAATCTCGACACGGAGGCGCCGGCGCGTGAACTCGTCTCATAAATGAACCGAAACTCAGCGTATAGACCTGAGAAATATATATATATATTGAAATGTCTACTTTTAATAAGAACAATTCAAAACGAAAGACAGACAGCTCTCTGCTGTAATCCGTATGAAATGTGCATTTCTCTCTGGCGTGTTCACTGAAGATCGCGAGCCAGCGTCGTAAACTTTGCAGCGACACTGACTGAAAACACTTGTTTATTAATAAACAATTAAAATGTCTCCTTGCTATATTTAGTGTTTCCCCTACCATTGTTTTAGGGGGGCGACCCGCCCCCCCAAAACGACCCCCCGCCCCCCCTAAAATGCTTACGAAATCCAGTCATAAAAAAGGAATTTACCCGGAATTTCACGGAATTTGTAAATCTTTTGAGGAATAAATAGAAAGCAGTTCAGTACACTTGAAATCAAATCGCGATGTAGACAAGTGTGTGTGGATATTAAACCAGAAAGACGATTTAAATGCGAATCCTGCTTGTTCTGTGTGAATGAATGGTGCAGCCGAACCGTGTGTGTGTGGTTTCATTTACCACACACACACACACACACACACACACTGAAGCACGTGTGACGCTTGCGCTGTTTTTTTTGCCTATATGAAGACACAAATGCATGAACTTCCTCTCCACTCCGAAAGTCACTTCGTGATCATTTAACCGCTTCATTTGAGAAAAACGCTCATCATGACATAAACACACAAACTCAAAAGGTCTTCACGGCAACCCGTCAAAATAAAAGTTCGGTTTAACTTGACAGAAATATATTACCGTTGTACAGTAGAATTTAGATATGTCCCAATGTAATAATACTAACACTAATCCAAATAAAGTAACATCAAAACTGAATTTAAGGAATAATCCATGTTTTAATTTTAACAGTAAAGCTCATTGTGCAGCACGTTATTTGACAAAAAGTTTATTTAATTTCATATGATTAAAATTGATGATAAAGGATCAAATTTGTGTTTTATGTCTTCATTTTATTACCAGAAAAAACACAACACAGAGATAGTGAAATTTATTTGCATTTTTTTTTTTAAATGTTGTATAAGTTTAATGATTCATAATACATTATTTCAATTAATTAGACACACTTTTTGATTGCTAAAAAATGTACACCATGTATCCGTAACACACCCGCTCCGCAACACTTTAGAAACTGCTAGTGTTGCGGAGCGGGTGTGTTACGGATACATGGTGTACATTTTTTAGCAATCAAAAAGTGTACTATAGTGTACTATACCCCCCAATGAAGACCCAGTACCCCCAAAGGGACAGAAATATCAGTTTTGGGGGGGTCAGATAATTTTTCTGATATTGTGAAAAAATATAATTACAGTTACAATACAAGTCAACTCCTATTTTAACTGTAGGAACATTTTAATGTAAAGCGATTTCAGCGAACACCCCTATTGTGGACCGTACCATTTTTAACCACCGTGGAGATAGAGAAGGGCAGCCAGCCGAGTGAGTTGTTGTTGTTGTGCTCCTGCTAATGTACGGACAAAGTTGCGCTGTTGCGGCTCGCGCAGTTATTTATAACATTAATTTATAGTTAAGAAACAATAGCAGGCTACACACGACCAGAGTGCTGTTTTCCTGAATGCCATCACGATTGAAACCGAGATATTGATTTCATAACAGTTCGATAAACAAGTAAAATAGTTCAAATTAAGTTACTTACATTTTTAGACGCAATGACTGTTTTTGTTCTGTTTCAGCAGCGAAAATAGTTCCAAACAACAGAACCAGCGCATCTCACAGCAACACTCATCCATTATTCATTACTGAATAATTCAGCGTTTTGAACTAATCGCTCAGTCAAAGATTCAATTACCCATTATTAAACCGCCTCATTCTGAGTAAATCAGCCGTTTGAACGAATCGTTTAAATGAATGACTCAATGAATCGCTCACTAAGACGGCCGCCTGCCGCCTCCTACTGGCGGTTTAGTTTCAAAGTATCATTCTTTTCAACATTCCTTATATTATTCAAAAAATATTTAAAATAATCTCATTTAATACAGTTATAATTTTTCAATGTAAATTATTTAATTTGATTGGCCGCTAGGCTGTCTTATTATTTTAATTGAATGTAGCCTATTAATAAAATGTAAGAATTTGAAATGAAATTTAGAGCATACATTAAATAAAATTAAGGAAAACTGCCCTTTTATAAAGGTACATAAAATTATTCAGATAAGAGTGTTTTCAAAAATGAGGGAAGGAGCAGTACCCCCCAATTATGGTGGGGTAATTCGCACTCTGCTTACATGAATCCCCGCACCCGCATTTTTAAAAAAAATTTAATTTACCGGCCATTATAAATGCAGATACCGATAGTTAGGAAAATGCCTAATATCGGCCGATATATCGGTCGGGCTCTAATTAGAAATATAGTTATAGATATCCAGTCTAGAGCGAGTGAGTGTTCTCAGTCTTCTGTTGTGTGATTAGTGTTATTATAGAGACGGCAGGAATATCAGTGCTGTCCCTTTTAAGAGCCGCACGGGTCCGATACACTGATACACACGAGGACAGAACACAGAGTCTCTCGCGCTCCAACGCTTCACACTCATATTGAGACGCTCACAGAGGAATCGATACGAGGAATCGAAATTTTAATTTTATAACAAGTATCGGATTCCTGACCTCAAGCATTCCCACATTGTGCTTGTCTAACTGGTGTGTTCAGAGCAGGGTTGAGCATCTCACGCTCTCGTGTCTCTCCAGCTGTACGTGTCGTCCGAGAGCCGCTTCAACACGCTGGCAGAGCTGGTCCATCATCACTCCACGGTGGCGGACGGCCTCATCACGACGCTGCATTACCCGGCTCCCAAGCGCAACAAGCCCACCATCTACGGCGTGTCGCCCAACTATGACAAGTGGGAGATGGAGCGCACGGACATCACGATGAAGCACAAGCTGGGCGGAGGGCAGTATGGAGAGGTGTACGAGGGCGTGTGGAAGAAGTACAGCCTCACTGTGGCCGTCAAGACACTAAAGGTCAGTGACACACACTGCGTCTGCTCCGCTAACGTCCTCGGCTCGGGTTTGCTTTGTCCTGCTGTAGTTTTAGTCATTCTTTTTTTTTAAGTCCATGTTGACATGTAATTTGACGAGCTTCCACCGGGTGACAGATCAGTGCATTTCAAAATGTCATTAAAATTAAAATTAAAATTTCTTTGTATGCTTTTAGCGCTGTGAAACGATCAATCGCGACTCAATTAGAGTGAGCCTGCAATGTATTCCCTATAGCGCGTGGCAAATAATTAATGGAAATCCACTGTCTCCTTATGCGACACACACACACACACAACCTATGTTGTTCACTCAGCTGCGCATAATAGCACCAAATTAATAAAAAACACAATATATTGACCCACGTTCTGTTTTCTGTCATGCGCCGTGCACGTGTGCGATGACCTAAGATGCACACGAGCGCACCAGGGTTCGATAGAATCAAGTTGAGTGTGAATTGTTTGTTTCTCCCTCTTGTGCAGGAAGACACGATGGAAGTGGAAGAGTTTTTAAAAGAAGCTGCGGTCATGAAAGAAATCAAACACCCGAACCTGGTGCAGCTGTTAGGTGAGTGTTTACCGGGCTTCACACTGTCCGACTCGACAGGTTTACAGAGCTAAACGTCTGATCGCGCTCAAGGCCCGCCTCTCTTCATGTGTCCTGCATTACGCTGTGATCCTGTAATGTAACATATGAAGTGCTTCCCAAATAATCTTTAAATAAATAGAGAATACTCCCAAAGTAAACCGAGTTGAATGCCTTGGAAATGCAGATGATTTTCTAAAGGCCGGTTCACAGGGTTGTTCGATCCTGGATTTGAGTGAGTTTGTGAGTTGCTCTAATGGACTGCACGACTCCATATACTTTGAATCAACACAGAATAAGAACAGAAGATTGCAGTCGTTATGACAGTATTCTTTCCCCCCCGACACGAAGCCTTAAACTCTCCTTATTAAAACACTTTTAGAGCTGACAATTCCATCAAATAACTCACAGAGGTGGAAAGACTGCTAAACATTTGTAATTAGATATAAGTATTGCTACTTAAAGGGATAGGTCACCATAAAAAAGGAAATTAAGTCATAATTTACTCACCCTGGTGTTGTTCTAATGCCGTACGCCCTTCTTTAATTTTTGGGCCAAATATGCAGAATTTAAAATGGCATTGAATGGCAGTGAATATCAAGCTTTTTTAAAAAGACACAAACGTGTCACAGAATGATTGGATGCTACGAGTGTCGTATACTCCACGTGTTCTGGTCGAGTTGGGGGAAAACAAACTGAAATTGAATGTATGATTTAACAAAACTCCATGAGACTCTAATAGCGCTGCAGTTCACACACACAATCAAGATTAATAAAACCGCGAGTGCTTCTGCTATAGTAAACTGCTGCTCTGAAACACTCTGTGTTGTAGAAAGTGCTGTATAAATAAAGCTGACTTGATGATTCTGAAGGAGAGCTGCTTATCAATCACTGCTGGATGTTCTGTGCTCGTCTCTTATGCCAGGCGTCTGCACACGGGAACCTCCCTTTTATATCATCACAGAGTTCATGACGCACGGGAACCTGCTGGATTACCTGCGCGAGTGCAACCGCCAGGAGGTGAACGCCGTGGTGCTGCTCCACATGGCCACGCAGATCTCCTCCGCCATGGAGTACCTGGAGAAGAAGAACTTCATACACAGGTGAGCCAGAACTGCAGTCCAGATGGGAAGCCCACACTGGTGTTGTCAAAAGTACGGACTTCGGTACCAAGTCGAGACTGAAATTGTGAAAATGTGAGGCTTTGAGCGGAATCATAAACGCCTCTGATTGGCCGTGGTGTTCACGAGCTCATCGGATATGTCTGTGATTGGCTACAATGATCAGCGCTTCAAAGACATGTTGTAAATATACATCAGTGAGGCTCTTCAGCGAGCGCTCACACACACACACACACACACACACACACACACACACACACACACGAGCGTTTGAAACAGGCGTATATCAGCGGATCGGTCCTACTTGTGCTTTCATAAACGCTCACACACTCCCGCGCGCTGATCATCGTAGCCAATCACAGACATTTTGGCCATTTTGACATTTTAGCCAATCACAGACATATGCGCACACATATTCAAACGAATAAAACTATAGAATAAATTTTTAATGCGCATGTGAACGCCATCAGGTCACAGGTTCGCGTTTAAAGTCTGTTTAGAGAGAACGCTGTCGTCTTAGTGGCCCCTAATGTAATAACAAATGATAATTTAGCTGGAAGTGAATCAATCAAAACCAACTTTAGCTGAAAATAACATTATTCAAAATCGCTATAAAGCCAAAACAATCTCTGTTACCGTAAATTGTATGTTTATCTCTGTAAAGCTGCTTTGAAACAATCTCCATTGTTAAAAGCGCTATATAAATGAAGATGACTTGACTTTAGGCATGTGCCGGTATAAAATTTTCATGCTGCGATTAATTGATTGAGCTTTTATCACGGTATACGGTATTATCACGATATTTTAATTGCACAAGAGAAACAGATGGATTGGGGGTACCGTATTTTCCGGACTATAAGTCGCTCCGGAGTATAAGTCGCATCAGCCCAAAAATGCGTCATGACGAGGAAAAAAACATATATAAGTCGCACTGGACTATAAGTCGCATTTATTTAGAAATTTATTTAACAAAATCCCCAACCAAGAAAAAGTTATTTAAACAGACTTTAATTCATTAAAACAGAAGGCATTTAAGTTATTCAGCTACACACAATAGCACAAAGAACAACAGGCTGAATATGTGTCCGGTATGTTGTTAACGTAACACATCAACAGTTAGCAACACAATAGCATAAAGAACATACCTGAGAGGCTGAATAGGATAAAATAAAATAACATAGCAAGACAGCGAGTCCAACAGTTATCGGTAAAGCAATTTCACCAAGCTCCCGCGATCTTATTCCACTGTTTGCGTTCAGTCTAATATTTCAGTTAATATCAGTTGTTTGTTTTCAGTTAATTTTTTCAGCGGTAAAACTAGCTGTAGTCTAAAGCGCATAGAGCGCTCTCTCGTGGCTGTAGACGGTAATATCACCCCCAATTTCGGCAAATGATGCATTCACGTCATACCACATACATAAAAAACTCGCAAATAATAATCTGGGGCCGTCAGCGATCCTGTGACGAGTAAATCTTGGTAATTTTGATATATAAGTCGCACCTGACTATAAGTCGCAGGACCAGCCAAGGTATGAAAAAAAGTGCGACTTATAGTCCGGAAAATACGGTATCTAAAAAAAACTTGCATCACAATGTGTAATTGTGATTGTCAAAACATTAATTTTATTTTTTAGTGACAACATGTTATAATGTTTACATGGTTACTGAGGCTACTGTTTGTATTATTGCTTAACACAATTTTCATGATTTCAATTAAATTCTTGGATTTAATTTCAATCTTGATTCAATATTGACTCATTTGGATAAATATTAGGTAGGGTACAGTAGATAGCCTGCATTTATATGTTTCTCAAGAAAAAATATATCTCACATAATGCTGTAAACATACAGAGAGAAATTAAATATAATGCATACAATATAAATATAATTATAATATAAATATAAAAATGTAATATGCCGTAATTTTCATTATAATAACAATTATATAATGACAAGTAAACATATATTAAAATATTATAGTGCACATATTTAGCAAAATACTCCTCTCTATAGCTATTTTCTTATAGTCAACTAACATTAAATGGCTTTCCTGAGGTAAATGTAACGTTCTGTGACATAATTGTTCTCCTGCAGTTTTATTGACCTCTTTCCGTGGTTGAAAAACACTGATTGATCGAAAGTACGTACCTTTCGGTGGGTTGTACTGTATCTTTAATGAAAAGTAACAGATGATCGGTTTACTTGATCTGAGGCGCGCGATCTGTCACGTCACATTTACAAGCACCAAAACAGTATTTATTGTCTGAATTTCGTTATAAAACCTGAGAGCTGATATTTTTTTCATATCAAAAGTAACCTGCTCTGTCTAGTCTGTCGGTGTCAGTGTCCTCTTTGCTCCGCGATTTTTCTCTGCGTGAGAAAATGGATGTGTGGCGCGAGACCGTGTGAAAGTGTCAATTGCGTGAGTCTCAAGCTGCTGAATGCGTGAGAGTTGGCAGCCATGCAGGGGATAAATAGTCGGCAGCGTTCCTCCTTCCGCCGTGCTTCTTCTCCACGTGAGGATTGTTTACATTAGACTAGAGTGCGCACTGCATGCACACAGTGCTTATACATGTCAGGGCTCCAGACTAACTTTTCCACTGGTTGCACTGGTGCGACCAACTTTCCTAGTTGGTCGCACCAGCATATGATTTGGTCGCACCTTTTTTCTTCTTTTTTTTGCTACATGCCATGGGATTAATCAATGCATGCTGATGAATAGTGGTTTTAATGGACCAAGGCTAGCAAAGGCTTTCTGGGTTGCAGCAGAAATACCTCTAATATATTAATTATCATTGCCAAATTTCAGGATTTTCATGGATTTTGGACAGTAATTTTAATCTGTAATTGTAAGCATTTTACATTTGAAATATATAGAATCTATCTATTTACATTTGAATCATATTCTATCTATCTATCTGTCTATTATCATCTTTCTATCTTTTAAAAATCATTAAACATTCAAATGTATGCATTACATTTTAAAAGATTAGAGTATTATAATAAATGATACAGATTTTTCGTTATCAAAGTTTATAGTTGTAACAAAAAGCAGAAATGTCACACTCTTACCTTCTGCATTTTATAATAATTTCTTTTTCCACTGTCGAGCGATCATGAGATTAATCGCTCAACAGAGGAAAATATAACCGCTGGAAAGACGTAGGAGGAAGGGGCTCTGTGTTTCGTGAGACCATTTTTATATGCCTTAATTCGGGAATTCGTAATTGGCGCGTTTCACCATCAGTGTGCAATGCGCGTGACGTCTACGTTCGTCAATAAATAAACTGCACGTGTCTTGCGGAAGAACACTGTAGCCGGAGCTACTTCTCTCCGTTAATGTCTATGGCGAGTCACGCAGGCACTGGGCAACTCTGCAGCCGAGCCCGGGATAAAATACTCTGAATATAAACACTTATTTTAGGCGTACCGTAGTGATTCAGAATAAGTCAAAAACACGGTTTGGAAAATGGATTCATGATGTAGCCTACTCGTTCATTTTGAACATAAGTTACGGACTGCAGCAGCTGATACAACGCAACGGCGTTCTGTTGCTCGAGCGTCCACTCGCACTAATACGACCACATAACATTTTAACTCGCACATTCTCAAAAAATGGTCGCATATGCGACCAATTTGGTCGCAGTCTGGAACCCTGCATGTGATGTGGGGATTGTTTACATCAAAGTGCACATGTGTTTTGCGCAGCATATACGCATTGTTTTTTAAGCGGTTGATGGAAAATAAGCTGATGCGCGTTCTAAAAATCTAAATTCGGATCTATTATTTTTCACGGTATTTCGAAGTCCCCGCGATAACAATATCGTGCATATTCATTACCGCGATTTATCGCATTACCGAATACCGGCACATGTCTACTTGACTTGACTTGACATTTCTGATGAGCTCGTGAACACAACGGCCAATCAGAGGCGTTTATGATTCCGCTCAAAGCCTCACATTTTTACAATTTCAGCATCGACTTGGTACCGAAGTCTGTACGTTTGACAACACCAGCCTACACACGCCGTTGTGTTTAGGGTTGGGTATCGTTTTAATTTTAACGATTCCGGTTTCGATTCCAATAAGGTAAAAAACAAAATACTAACTTGGATATCATTCACATTTAGTCTTATTGCAAAACATTTAATTGTTGCTGAAATATCATGAACAAAATTCAACGTTTGCCTGTGGTTTAAAAACACCATAGAAAAACAACTAGCCGAACTAATATACATTTCAAGCATTATTAAAGACAATAAACACTCAGTTATTAAAAAATAACAAATTAGCAATCGCAACAAATAGACACAACTGAACAAAGATACGATTGAAATAAACTATTTTAAGATTTTCAGGTGTTCAGGTTCAGAAACTAATCAAATGTAAAATAACTCTGCACTTTATAAATAAAATATACATTAGAAATATAGTTATAGATATCCAGTCTAGAGCGAGTGAGTGTTCTCAGTCTTGTGTTGTGTGATTAGTGTTATTATAGAGACGGCAGGAATATCAGTGCTGTCACTTTAAGAGCCGCACGGGTCCGATACACTGATACACATGAGGACAGAACAGAGTCTCTCGCGCTCCAACGCTTCACACTCATATTGAGATGCTCACAGAGGAATCGAATTCTTAATTTTATACCAAGTATCCGATCCCTGACCTCAAGCATTCGAGTCCAGAATTAGAATAGATTTTCGATTCTCAACCCTAGTCTTCACAATACTGTGTGCAATTTTTTGGAGAGTTTTCCTATCACACGATTCCAGTTTTAACATTCTATGCACAAAAAAATCAGATACAGGACAACATAGAATTAGTAACTGTTATGAATGACATGTTTCCCGTTACAATCTGGCTGTTGTTTCAGGGATCTAGCTGCCCGTAACTGCTTAGTTGGGGAAAACCACTTGGTTAAAGTGGCAGACTTTGGGCTGAGTCGCCTGATGACGGGAGACACGTACACAGCCCACGCCGGAGCCAAGTTTCCCATTAAATGGACCGCACCGGAGAGCCTGGCCTATAACAAATTCTCCATCAAGTCCGATGTGTGGGGTAAGCACAGATCAATGACATGCTGATGCTGTTGGTGCTTGTGTCGAACTGACATTCTTGCTTGAACTCCTCAGCATTTGGAGTCCTGCTTTGGGAGATCGCCACCTATGGGATGTCTCCGTATCCTGGAATTGACTTGTCCCAAGTTTACGAGCTACTAGAGAAGGATTACCGCATGGACCGGCCCGAGGGATGCCCGGAGAAAGTCTATGAGCTCATGAGGGCCTGTAAGCAGCTCTTCAGATCATTTAAGAAAAGTGACTCCAATATGATTACGAGTAAACTGTGTCCTTCCCTCGCACTCTGTGGGCACACATCTTTCCCTCGCGGGTCAAAATGACCCGAAGCCCTAAAATTATACTTGATTTGTTAGTTTTTTTTGTCCAAAAAGCTTATTTTAAATAAATAATATAATATGATATTTCATGCCTCTAGATGGGCTTATAGCTCTATATGGAGCAGAGGAGCTGTTCCGCTGGGTCCTAAAGCCAGTTCACTTCAGTGTGCGCTCACATACACATGTAGACATTATACAATAATCTTTTGGTAAAGTTTTAGCATCTTTAGTTTGATTTTTGAGCATTTTTAGGTTTTTCTATGTGTACTGAAGCATTCCTCGCATTCCACTCATTCCTAAAGGGGTCAAATGACCCGAGAGTGAAGGATTTGTTACTTTTTTCAATTTTAACCACAAAACTCCTCCGACTCAATTAAATTTTATTTTTTGTGTATTCGTGGTTCAAGTGTGACTAAAGTCCTCAGGTCTTGGACCCTCTGATGTACACTAAATTAAAAAAAATAAATAATAATTTGATTCGGGTCCAAATGAATACAACTACTACAGTTCTTAGGTTGCCCTTTGGACTGACTTTAGTGTTTCTGTCTTCAGGTTGGAGATGGAACCCTGCAGAGCGGCCTTCTTTTGCTGAAACCCACCAGGCGTTTGAGACTATGTTTCAAGAGTCCAGTATCTCTGATGGTATGACTTTATCTCTGGAGGAATAGAGAGATTTGCATGTACCTTTCTTGTGGCTCATGTTTTAAATGTTCATGGGTTGCAGAGGTGGAGAAAGAGTTGGGGAAGAAGGGTAAGAAGCTGGCGCTGGGTCCAATACAACAGGCCCCAGAACTTCCCACTAAGACGAGGACACTACGAAGACATATGGACAGTAGGGATGGTGACGGCCCGGGTAAGCTGTGCTCTGCTTAGTTAAAGCGATAGTTCACCCAAAAATAAAAATTAGCCCATGATTTACTCGCCCTCAAGTCATCCTAGGTGTATATGACTTTCTTCTTTCAGACGAATACAATCAGAGTTATTTAAAAAATGTCCTGGCTCTTCCAAGCTTTATAATGGCAGTGGATTGTCGTTTCTGTTTTGAAGTCCATAAAAGTGCATCTATCCATCATAAAAGTGCATCTATCCATCATAAAAGTGCATCTATCCATCATAAAAGTGCATCTGTCCATCATAAAAGTGCATCTATCCATGATAAAAGTGCATCTATCCATCATACAAGTGCATCTATCCATCATAAAAGTGCATCTATCCATCATAAAAGTGCATCTATCCATCATAAAAGTGCATCTATCCATCATAAAAGTGCATCTATCCATCATATAAGTGCATCTGTCCATCATAAAAGTGCATCTGTCCATCATAAAAGTGCATCTATCCATCATAAAAGTGCATCTATCCATCATAAAAGTGCATCTATCCATCATATAAGTGCATCTGTCCATCATAAAAGTGCATCTATCCATCATATAAGTGCATCTGTCCATCATAAAAGTGCATCTGTCCATCATAAAAGTGCATCTATCCATCATAAAAGTGCATCTATCCATCATAAAAGTGCATCTATCCATCATATAAGTGCATCTGTCCATCATAAAAGTGCATCTATCCATCATATAAGTGCATCTGTCCATCATAAAAGTGCATCTGTCCATCATAAAAGTGCATCTATCCATCATAAAAGTGCATCTATCCATCATAAAAGTGCATCTATCCATCATATAAGTGCATCTGTCCATCATACAAGTGCATCTGTCCATCATAAAAGTACATCTATCCATCATAAAAGTGCATCTGTCCATCATAAAAGTGCATCTATCCATCATAAAAGTGCATCTATCCATCATAAAAGTGCATCTGTCCATCATAAAAGTGCATCTATCCATCATAAAAGTGCATCTATCCATCATAAAAGTGCATCTATCCATCATATAAGTGCATCTGTCCATCATAAAAGTGCATCTGTCCATCATAAAAGTGCATCTATCCATCATAAAAGTGCATCTATCCATCATAAAAGTGCATCTATCCATCATATAAGTGCATCTGTCCATCATAAAAGTGCATCTGTCCATCATATAAGTGCATCTGTCCATCATAAAAGTGCATCTGTCCATCATAAAAGTGCATCTATCCATCATAAAAGTGCATCTATCCATCATAAAAGTGCATCTATCCATCATAAAAGTGCATCTATCCATCATATAAGTGCATCTGTCCATCATAAAAGTGCATCTGTCCATCATATAAGTGCATCTGTCCATCATAAAAGTGCATCTATCCATCATAAAAGTGCATCTGTCCATCATAAAAGTGCATCTATCCATCATAAAAGTGCATCTATCCATCATAAAAGTGCATCTGTCCATCATAAAAGTGCATCTATCCATCATAAAAGTGCATCTATCCATCATAAAAGTGCATCTATCCATCATATAAGTGCATCTGTCCATCATAAAAGTGCATCTGTCCATCATAAAAGTGCATCTATCCATCATAAAAGTGCATCTATCCATCATAAAAGTGCATCTATCCATCATATAAGTGCATCTGTCCATCATAAAAGTGCATCTATCCATCATATAAGTGCATCTGTCCATCATAAAAGTGCATCTGTCCATCATAAAAGTGCATCTATCCATCATAAAAGTGCATCTATCCATCATAAAAGTGCATCTATCCATCATATAAGTGCATCTGTCCATCATAAAAGTGCATCTATCCATCATATAAGTGCATCTGTCCATCATAAAAGTGCATCTGTCCATCATAAAAGTGCATCTATCCATCATAAAAGTGCATCTATCCATCATAAAAGTGCATCTATCCATCATATAAGTGCATCTGTCCATCATAAAAGTGCATCTATCCATCATAAAAGTGCATCTATCCATCATATAAGTGCATCTGTCCATCATACAAGTGCATCTGTCCATCATAAAAGTGCATCTATCCATCATAAAAGTGCATCTATCCATCATATAAGTGCATCTGTCCATCATACAAGTGCATCTGTCCATCATAAAAGTGCATCTATCCATCATATAAGTGCATCTGTCCATCATAAAAGTGCATCTGTCCATCATAAAAGTGCATCTGTCCATCATAAAAGTGCATCTGTCCATCATAAAAGTGCATCTATCCATCATAAAAGTGCATCTGTCCATCATAAAAGTGCATCTGTCCATCATAAAAGTGCATCTATCCATCATAAAAGTGCATCTGTCCATCATAAAAGTGCATCTATCCATCATAAAAGTGCATCTATCCATCATAAAAGTGCATAGATGCACTTTTATGATGGATAGATGCACTTTTAACGACTTCACAACAGAAACACCAATTCACTGCCATTATAAAGCTTGGAAGAGCCAGGACATTTTTTTAATAAAACTATTCATCTGAAAGAAGAATGTCATATACACCTAGGATAACTTGAGGGAGAGTTAATCATGGGCTAATTAAAATATTTGGGTTAACTATCCCTTTAGTTCCCTGTGATTAGTGAGCGATACTAATAAGAGTTGAACCCTTTGCAGACGCAGCAGAGCCTGAGCTCCCGATGATCCCGAGGCCTCTCCTCGACAGCAACTTGAACGAAGATGATCGGCTCTTGACAAAAGATAAAGATAAGTTCCGGATGAATCCCTTCAGTTACATCAAGAAAAAGAAGAGAACGGCTCCGGCGCCCCCGAAACGCTCCAGCTCGTTCGGGAAGATGGATGGGCACCTGGATCGGAGGGGCCCCGAGTGCAGGGATGATTTCAACAACGGGGCTCCCGCCAATGATGCCTTGCAAGGCATTGATCCTTCCAAATTGATTGGGTCCGGAGTCACCAATGGAGCCCTAGTGTATCCCGGTCAGCTCTTCCCTTCTCATTCAAGGAAAAAGGGCACGGGAACAACGTCAGGGAAACTCGCCACAACTCCGCCAGCAGAAGAAGACCCGATGTCAAACTCAAAGCGCTTCCTAAGGTCTTCGTCCGCATCTAGCATGCCTCCAGGATCGGACCGATCCGAATGGAAATCGGTCACTTTGCCTCGTGACATCCAGTCTTCTCACTTCGAGTCGGGAACCATCGGAGGCAAGCCGGCTTTGCCACGCAAAAAAGCAGATTGCATGCCGAGAGGTGGAACCCTAACCCCGCCTCCGCGCCTTCCCAAGAAAACCGAGGATGTGTCGGATGAAGTCTTCAAGGACTCGGAGTCTAGTCCCGGATCAAGTCCTTTGACTCTGACGCCGAAGCTCGGGCGACGCCCGCAAACAGAAACCTCTAAAACGAGTGCCTTGCAAGCAGAGCTCTTCAAACCCAATGTGTTTCCAACTCTGGATGAAATCAGACCTCGCAGGCTCAAGCAAACCTCGGAGATCCCTGGACAAAGAGAACGGGAGAAGGGAAAGTTCGTGAAACCGAAACCTGCTCCTCCTCCTCCGCCTCCGGTCTCGAGCACCAAGTCTGGGAAGACTTCGAGGAGTCCTACTTTTGATGTGTCTTCGGATACCAAAATCAAGGCTTCTGAAGTGAATCCCTCTAATCCCGGATCCACAGATCTAGGCAAGGGAGGTCTTTCCCAAGAAAGTGCCAAGAAATTGCAGAAAAACACCTCGAAAGTTCCTCCCACTAAAACCACTCCTGTGTCTCCGAGTGCTCAGCTTCCGGGAATGGGAACGACTGTCGGAGACCCCGGATCGAACTTCATTCCTCTCATAACGACTCGCCGTTCGTTGAGGAAAACGCGCCAGCCGTCGGAAAGACTCTCCAACTCTTGCATCACGCGCGAGATGGTCTTGGACAGCACGGATGTTCTGCGAGCCGCGATCGGACGCATCTCGGAGCAAACCGGGAGCCATAGTGCCGTGTTGGAGGCCGGGAAGAACCTCTCCAAGTTTTGCGTGAGCTTCGTCGAGTCCATCCAACAGATGCGCAACAAGTTTGCTTTCCGAGAAGCCATCAATAAGCTGGAGAACAGTCTTCGTGAGTTGCAGATCTGCCCAGCGGCCACCGGGGGCGCCAACACGCCTCAAGACTTTTCCAAGCTGCTGTCCTCCGTCAAGGAGATCACCGACATCGTTCAGAGGTAGCGGAGAAAAGCTCGGATGCGATCGATTTCTAGATTCTTCTCTGGGTGGACGTACTCTCTACGGGAACCCACCTCATGCCAAACAGAGAAACATTTACGAGCGACTCTAAAGCAGGGGAAAGGTCCCCGAAAGTTCGTTTGGCGATCTTAAGGTAGAAAGGTCGACTCGAGTCGTGTTTCTTAGCAATTCCACAACTTGACTTTGACTTTTTCTTGCATTTTCTCAAAGCGAGCGCTATCTCAGCGTTGCGGGTGATTGTGACCGAACAACACCTCACAATTTCCAATATTTTTTTAGGGATCAAAGTATATTTGCTTACAACAGAAACATTCAAGATCATAGTATTGACAGAGTCTGAACTCTTTTTGCGTGTGTGGTTTGGTCAAGAAAGGGCTTTGCTGTGAGATGTGAACGGTCCCTGTGAAATGAGGAAGCCGACTGATTGCGTATTGTATGATTGCGACACTGTGCCACGAGTGACGCTTAACCGGCGGGGTTGTAGAGTCGGCGCGGTCTTCCCAGCATTCCTGATCCTGTCGAGGGTTTGAACAAGTGTTGCTTCAGCACAATCACTACACATACATGACTCCCCTAAATACACCGTGGCCTTAAAGAGCGAATGAAACACTACTGTCTCGAGGAGAAAGACTTGGAAGTGCGAATCAGAGCTTAAGAAGCAGTGTATGTATAGATGTTTTTATTGTAATGTCCTGCATTTACCACTTGATGTCATTTGAAAGGTTTTCCACACGCCACTGACGGAAACAGCTTTATCCAATGACCACACGCCCGTCTTAAAGTTATAATTCTCATTGAGGATGTCTGAGTCAATGACTGTCTTGCTAAAAGCTTGTGTAATTGAAATAATGCATTGTTTTCAGTATTAGTTTGTCTTTCCGACTCTCTGCCATCTGACTGTGACGCCTGAGGAGAAAGCCAACCACAAGCTGCCTTTGATTCAACATGGTACTCCCAGTGTTGACTTATCATGTTTTATTGTTGTCTCTTCAAAATCATGCCACTACTTTTTAAATGTGTATTCAACCTCACCCTGTTGTAGACTCATCTTTGTAAATACACGTCACTTGCTTTCTCTTTTCTGTTGATTCTTCCTGTAACCTTGGTGCAATTTTGTGTTGCATAAAATACAAAGAAATTTTGCTACTTGAACAACATAAAGAGTTCATTCTCTGCTCTAGTGCTGTCATTATGCCTCTCGCATGTTGTGCAGGTGTTCGTGTAGATAGGGTTAAACATGGTTGTTCAAATCAAATTTAAGGCTTTTGAAGAGTGGCACAAAAATGTAATACTGTATTCGGGGGGGGGGGGGGGGGCATCATGTAAATGTTTATGGTAACCATAAAATAAATGTAAAACCGATGATTTAAACAAATATACAGTTCAACTTATACGTGTTGAAAAAAAGGGTTATATAAAATGATAAACTTCCCATTTTAGCTTTTAAGCCTTTTTTTTTTTTTTTAAAGGTACACTAACTTATTAAAATTGTGTTAATTTTGAAAAAGAAAAAAAAAGTGAATACATACAAAATGTGTTTTTGTCTCACCCTGATTCACTATGGCAAACCTATTATATGAGTTTATATTTTGGACCTGTCGGGATGTTGCGTGTTTATTAATAGGTAAAACTACAGTAACTCTTCAGCTTGAGATGCTTTCATCTACACGGATTATATCAGTTTCAGGATCATCCCTGCAATCAAGACCCAGTCCTCTCCGATCCAGGTGTCCATCTTCATCCGCACAGAACCGAAGCTCTACCACAACAATGTTCTTCCACAAAATGCATATTAAAATGATAGATGAGTTAAAAATGATGGATATATAGAGATAAAATGAATATATATTTAAAATCTGATTACACATAATATTCTAGATTTTTTTAATTTACAACTTCACGCTCTGAAAGTGCGGCCTGTAGAACAAGCGTTTTTATTCCATTAGATTGTAGCCTTTTGAAGATTAATAATCACGTTTAGCAATTGCTGTTTGCCGTCCCCCAAATTTAAAACCTCTTGAAATCACAATTAAGACTTTTCTTATACCACTGAAGATATTTAAAAATAGTTAAATTTGATCAAACCTGGTTTGTTCAGAATGAAACTGAGCCGTTTTCTGGCTAGAGCATATTTAATGTCGTCATTAAAATCAAAATGTCAACATTTTAAAATCATATACATACACAAAAACAGATTTTCAAACGTTAGCACAGCTCATTCAGAGTTTATACATATGTACGGTTTCGACTAGGTCATTCAGACAGAGACGTCCATGTTTGGAGAGTTTGTGAGCGTCGTCTTTCTGCGTGAGGAGTCGGTCACATCACCAGCAGACATGGCCTTATATACAGCAGCTGAATCAGACTTCATATGGTACGTACACTGAATTAAGACAGATGCTGCTTCACGAGAAGTCTCGTGTTGTTAATATACAAGCCAATGGCGCAGACGTTTACTGTACAGGCTAAACAACTGGAGCGTTTTCATCACATTTCATAGATCTATACAAAATCAGTTGCAGTGCTGTAAAACCAAACTCAACTCCAAACTGTGTTGAGCTAGTAAAGATTAAACTGATGGTAATAATATTAACATGAATAACAATAAGGCAACATAAAATAACAGTGGTAAGGACAGACGAACGAACGAATGATCAAGGAGCAGAAGAGAAGAAAGAATCATCTTTCCATAAAGTGTCTTCGATTCATAAAGCTGTCCAACCCTTGACACTCGCGCGCGTTTAAATCTGGGATCTGGTGTGGTCAGGTTTACACGTATGCATTATTCAGAGTGCTTTATCTACAGGGGCGTCAGACGGGCGTACCGGCGGTGCCGACCCGAAACTCTCGACACAATCATGCTTGCTTTCAGCTACAGGTCTCGCTTCTCAGGGCGGTGCAGACGAATGTGGCGAGATAGAAAACGAATATCAATAAAAAAGAGCCTGATTGGTGATCAGCAGATTCTTCTCTCCTAAGCCGATGCGTCACGTGATTAGTCGGAGGATGATGGGGAAATAAGAAAACACTGAGCAAGAAAGATGGACAGATGAAGAGAAAGGTAGGAGCAAATGAGAGCATGTAGCCGTATCCGGGCCGTGTGTGATGATGATGATGTCATTAACAGCCACACCCTTCCTTCTGCGGCTGGGGTTCGTGTGTGTGATGATGATGAAGATGAAGATGATGATGGTCATTAACAGCCACACCCTTCCTTCTGCGGCTGGGGTTCATGTGTGTGATGATGATGATGATGATGATGATGATGGTCATTAACAGCCACACCCTTCCTTCTGCGGCTGGGGTTCATGTGTGTGATGATGATGATGATGATGATGATGGTCATTAACAGCCACACCCTTCCTTCTGCGGCTGGGGTTCATGTGTGTGATGATGATGATGATGATGATGGTCATTAACAGCCACACCCTTCCTTCTGCGGCTGGGGTTCATGTGTGATGATGATGAAGATGATGATGTCATTAACAGCCACACCCCTCCCGCTGCGGCTGGGGTTCGTGTGTGATGATGATGATGATGATGATGATGAAGATGATGTCATTAACAGCCACACCCCTCCCGCTGCGGCTGGGGTTCGCTGGTGATCCGGCCTCCCTGCGGCGCAGATGGTTTGTGTTGAACACCTGATTCTGCTGCGTTCAGATCCAGACTGCCGTCCTGAATGTTCTGGTAGATCTTCTTCGCCGCCTCCAGGAAAGCGTCCTCCACGTTCTCACCTCTGCGACAACAAACACACGACTGTCATCTAGAAGCTTACAGGAGTTCAACACTCTGATTAAGTGTGCCATGTTTATAGTATATAGTGAGTACCGAGTATAGAGAGAGTAGAGTATATAGTGAGTACTGAGTATATAGTGAGTAGAGTATATAGTGAATACTGAGTATATAGAGAGCACCAGTGAGTACTGAGTATATAGAGAGTACTGAGTATATAGAGAGTACTGAGTATATAGAGAGTACCAGTGAATACTGAGTATATAGAGAGTACTGAGTATATAGAGAGTACCAGTGAGTACTGAGTATATAGAGAGTACTGAGTATATAGAGAGTACCAGTGAGTACTGAGTATATAGAGAGTACCAGTGAGTACTGAGTATATAGAGAGTACCAGTGAGTACTGAGTATATAGAGAGTACTGAGTATATAGAGAGTACCAGTGAGTACTGAGTATATAGAGAGTACTGAGTATATAGAGAGTACCAGTGAGTACTGAGTATATAGAGAGTACTGAGTATATAGAGAGTACCAGTGAGTACTGAGTATATAGAGAGTACTGAGTATATAGAGAGTACCAGTGAGTACTGAGTATATAGAGAGTACCAGTGAGTACTGAGTATATAGAGAGTACTGAGTATATAGAGAGTACCAGTGAGTACTGAGTATATAGAGAGCACTGAGTATATAGAGAGTACCAGTGAGTACTGAGTATATAGAGAGTACTGAGTATATAGAGAGTACCAGTGAGTACTGAGTATATAGAGAGTACTGAGTATATAGAGAGTACCAGTGAGTACTGAGTATATAGAGAGTACTGAGTATATAGAGAGTACCAGTGAGTACTGAGTATATAGAGAGTACTGAGTATATAGAGAGTACCAGTGAGTACTGAGTATATAGAGAGTACTGAGTATATAGAGAGTACCAGTGAGTACTGAGTATATAGAGAGTACTGAGTATATAGAGAGTACCAGTGAGTACTAAGTATATAGAGAGTACTGAGTATATAGAGAGTACCAGTGAGTACTGAGTATATAGAGAGTACCAGTGAGTACTGAGTATATAGAGAGTACTGAGTATATAGAGAGTACCAGTGAGTACTGAGTATATAGAGAGTACTGAGTATATAGAGAGTACCAGTGAGTACTAAGTATATAGAGAGTACTGAGTATATAGAGAGTACCAGTGAGTACTGAGTATATAGAGAGTACCAGTGAGTACTGAGTATATAGTGAGTACTGAGAATATAGTGAGTACTGAGAATATAGTAAGTACTGAGTATATAGTAAGTACTGAGAATATAGTGAGTACTGAGAATATAGTGAGTACTGAGAATAGGTGAGTACTGAGAATATAGTGAGTACTGAGTATATAGTGAATACTGAGTATATAGTGAGTACTGAGTATATAGTGAGTACTGAGTATATAGTGAGTACTGAGAATATAGTGAGTATATAGTGAGTACAGAGTATATAGTGAGTACTGAGTATATAGTGAGTACTGAGTATATAGTGAGTACCGAGTAAATAGTGAGTACTGGGTTTCAGGGAAATACACACAGATGGTTCAATATGTCAAGCTATGAGAATTAATACTGCATTTTACAGCACTCGTCATGCTGGAATAACTTGGGTTTTGTCGCTGGCAAAAGTATATAGTGAGTATATGGTGAGTACTGAGTATATAGTGAGTATATAGTGAATACCGAGTATATAGTGAGTATATGGGGAGTACTGAGTATATAGTGAGTACTGAGTATTTAGTGAGTATATGGTGAGTACTGCGTATATAGTGAGTATATGGTGAGTACTGCATATATAGTGAGTATATGGTGAGTACTGCATATATAGTGAGTATATGGTGAGTACTGCATATATAGTGAGTATATGGTGAGTACTGCGTATATAGTGAGTATATGGTGAGTACTGAGTATATAGTGAGCACTATTTATATTAGTGAGTATATAGTGAGTACTGAGTATAAAGTGAGTACTGAGTATATAAGTGAGTATATAGTGAGTACTAAGTATATTAGTTAGTACGCACCATATACTCAGTACTCACTAAGTATATTAGTGAGTATATAGTGAGTACTGAGTATATAGTGCATACTAAGTATATTAGTGAGTATATAGTGAGTAATGAGTATAAGTGAGTATATAGTGAGAGATGTATTCTGATGTCTGGACTCTATTGTCTGGGGTTCAGGGAAATACACACAGATGGTTCAACATGTCAGTAATGTTATGAGAATTAATACACTGCACTTTACAGCACTCGTCATGCTGGAATAACTCACGTTTTGGCGCTGGCCTCCAGGAACAGCAGACCTGAGGATGAAACACACTGATGAGGATCAGGACTCAACGCAGCTCCACATCACACGAGGACAGGCTTTACTCACCGTTCTCTTCAGCGAACTGCTTGGCCTCCTCGTACGTCACGTCTCGCTGGGCTTCCAGATCTGCTTTGTTTCCTATGAGTATAATCACCTGCACAAGCACACGGGAAACATCTCTCTCAGAGCCAAACCACCTCAATGCCTTACAAGCATAAACTTTAGCCGCATGTTCTGGGTGGTTGGCAGAGGGTTCTGGGTGGTTGCTAGGGCGATGCTAGGTGTCATAGATGGTTGCTAAGGGGTTGTAGGTAGTTTCTATGTTATCAGTCCTGTACATTGCCCTGTATATGTCAATAGAGGGCAACCCTGTGTTACCTACAATGTTCTGGTGCTGAGATATGGCTTATTCATGCAGATAAAGTTCAGATATGGGTGACTAGGCTGTTGAGGGTGGTTGCTAGAGCATTGCTAAGGTGATTTCAGTGGTTGATAGTCATCATAGATGGTTGCTAAGGAGTTGCTAGATCTTATGTTATCAATACTATACAATGTCCTGTCAAATAGAAGCCAACCCTATGGTACTACAATGTGCTGGTGCTGAGACATGGCTTATTCATGCAGATGTGGTTGCTAGGGTGTTGTGGGTGGTTGCTAGGAAGTTGGCAGAGGGTTCTGGGTGGTTGCTACAATGTTTCTAGGTAGCTGCTATGGCATTGTTATGTGATCGCTAGGCAGTTGCTCAGATGTTGTGGGTGGTTGCAAGGACATTGCTAGGGTGTTGTGGGTGGTTGCTAGGGCATTGCGGGTGGTTGCTAGGGTGTTGCTGGGTGGTTGCTAGGGCATTGCTAGTGTATTTTCAGTGGTTACTAGGTAGTTCCTATGTTATAAGTACATGTCAATAGAGGCCAACCCGATGCTGTGGTGCTGAGATATGGCTTATTCATGCAGATATAGTTGCTAGGGTGTTGTGGGTGGTTGCTAAGGCGTTGCTAGTGTAATTTCAGTGGTTACTAGGCAGTTCCTATGTTATAAGTACATGTCAATAGAGGCCAACCCGATGATGTGGTGCTGAGATATGGCTTATTCATGCAGATATGGTTACTAGGGTGTTGTGGGTGGCTGCTAGGGCATTGCTAGTGTAATTTCAGTGGTTACTACTAAGTTATTGGTGCACATGCTGTCGGATGGAGGCTTGAACTCACAGTATTGGGGTTGGTGAGGTTCCTGGCGTCAGTCAACCAGCTGCTGAGGTGATTGTATGTGCTTCTCCTGTACAGACACATGTTAATAAACACTCGTCGTCAGACCCTAAGTGAGCCGCACCAGTTGAGTGACAGCTGTGCAGACGCTAGAGTCCTGGTTTCGGGTTGGAAACTAAGAAGAACTATTTAGGCTATACATATATATAGTTTGCGTGCTGTGTGCTAGCTGTGTTGTGTTTAATGTTTGAGTTACAGAGTGTACATGTATTTTTTTAATTACCATTGTAAGCAATCATGCAGCTAGAATACAGCATATTGCAACAAAAAAAAAGGTATTTACTGTGAGAAACGGACATCGGGTTCAGGCTTAAAATATGACCGTAATGGTCGGATTAAATGATTTGGGGTTGGGGCTTCAGTTTCAAGCCCCTGCACACACACCTGGTGATATCGTAGACCATTAGCGCTCCCGCGGCTCCTCTGTAGTAGCTGCGCGTGACGGCTCTGAAGCGCTCCTGGCCCGCCGTGTCCCAGATCTGAAGCTTGATCTTCTGCCCGCTCACCTCGATGATTCTGGTGCCGAACTCCACGCCGATGGTGTGCGGGCAGTCGGCCATGACTGAGGACAACACACACACACACACACAGTTATGCAACAGAGCATCTGCATTCATGTCCCTCATGTCACGATTCGATATTATTGCGATACTCCAAGACATATGATAAAAGTAAAAAAATGTAAATGCTAAATTTGGTATTACATTGTGTGTGTAAACGAATAGGCTTGGACTTGGTGCTGAAACCCAAAGCATAGGAAAATAGAGACACCAGAATAACAATTTTCATGATTCTGAAGCTGAAAATTATGAGTTATTTTAGACAAATATGCTTGCACTCTGTCACTGACTAGATATATTTAAAATAATGTAGGCCACTTTTTACACAAATTTTCCCCATTGCATTATTATATATAGTAGTTTAATGTACACTGAACAAAATTATAAATGCAACACTTTTGAACATGAAATCAACATTCAATTCACGCGCAACAGCACATTTTAGAGTGGCCTTTTATTGTGGCTAGCCTAAAGCACACCTGTGCAATAATCACACGACGTATTGTTACACCCCTATAAATAAATATAAAGCAAAAACTTAAATGCATAAATAAGATGCAAGCAGACTTTTGTGCATCTTCAGAAAACCATCAAGCAAATACAGTTGAGAGATTATGTTTACCCTGTTTAAGTGCTTTATATGATGAACAGATTTAATTTAAGCTTTATTCACATATAAACATTGATCAGTGAATGTATATAAAGTGATCGTGTCTCTTCAGAAGACTTGAATCAAACTGTTCCATTCATATTTCATGATCTCTTTATGAATGTTGTGAAGCGTCAGAATCTTGGATGAATCGACTGTTAATGGACAGAAATCTCTCAGAATTCATTAAAAATGCCTTTATTTTGAGTTTGAAGATGATTGAAGTTCTTACAGGTTTGGAAAAACATGAGGGAGAGTAATTAATGACAGAATCTTTATTTTTAGATGAACTATCCCTTTAAAAACAGGTCAAATTTAGCATTGAGAAGAACTTCATAAGCATGTCAGTATTAGGAAAGAAAGTCTGAATCTGTATCGGACCGTCAGCAAACCCCTTTCATCAGCTGATGATGGTGATGATGAAGAGCAATCATAACTCAGCGTTTCCTTCAGACGGTAGATCATGACCCCTCTTAAACAAACCCAGAGTGATCATCTCACAAACACTGTGAAACACACAGAGGCTGTTTGTTTAGAGCAGCACAAAGGTTGGTTGTGTCTCTTATCGTGTGTGTGTGTGTGTGTGTGTGTGTGTGTGTGTGTGTGTGTTTAACATGCTGAAGGAAAGGCCTGACAATCATCACCGTCTCACGTCTCATACTCACATTTCTTTTCTGTGAACTGGTGCAGCAAACAGGACTTCCCAACGCCCATGTCGCCTGCAGAGAGAGAGAGAGATAGGGAGAGATAGAGACAGAGAGAGAGAGAGAGAGAGAGAGAGAGAGAGAGAGAGAGAGAGAGAGAGAGAGAGAGAGAGAGAGAGAGAGAGAGAGAGAGAGAGAGAGAGAGAGAGAGAGAGAGAGAGAGAGAGAGAGAGAGAGAGAGAGAGAGAGAGAGAGAGAGAGAGAGAGGGTCAATCACAACAACAGCAAAGTATGTAATAGCATGCCACAAACTACGAGAATCTGAATGTTGGTTCAAATGTTTTTATTTTGTTTTTGATTTATTTTTATTTTATTTATTTTGATATATAAATGTATTCATGCATTTGTTTACTAATTAATTGTATTGATTATTTGCTCATTGCCTATGTAATGGCCAATGCTTTGGCAATACTGTACAAGTCATGCCAATAAATCTCATTTGAATTTGAGAGGGAGAGAGACGAACAGAAAGTTACTTTGAAAAGTAATGCATTACATTACTGCGTTACTCCCTTAAAAAGTAACTAATTGCGTTACTTAGTTACCTTTTAAGAAAAGTAATGCATTACATTATTTTTGGGTTACTTTGTCTCACCTGGGCTGTGCATTATATAAGGATAAAGTGCTATTATTGGGCAAATATGTAAAGATACGTTCACACCAAAATTGAGATGAATAATCCTCAGGCTTAAGGAAGTGCAAATTCAAGCATACAGTAGAGGTAGAGTACAGTAAAGGTAGAGTACAGTAGAGGAAGAGTACAGTGGAGTACAGTAGAGTACAGTAAAGGTAGAGTACAGTAGAGTACAGTAGAGGTAGAGTACAGTAGAGGACAGTAGAGGTAGAGTACAGTAGAGGTAGAGTACAGTAGAGTACAGTAGAGGTAGAGTACAGTAGAGGTAGAGTACAGTAGAGTACAGTAGAGGTAGAGTACAGTAGAGTACAGTAGAGGTAGAGGTAGAGTACAGTAGAGGTAGAGTACAGTAAAGGTAGAGTACAGTAGAGGTGGAGTACAGTGGAGTACAGTAGAGTACAGTAAAGGTAGAGTACAGTAGAGTACAGTAGAGGTAGAGTACAGTAGAGGTAGAGTACAGTAGAGGTAGAGTACAGTAGAGGTAGAGTACAGTAGAGTACAGTAGAGGTAGAGTACAGTAGAGGTGGAGTACAGTAGAGGTAGAGTACAGTAGAGGTAGAGTACAGTAGAGGTAGAGTACAGTAGAGGTAGAGTACAGTAGAGTACAGTAGAGGTAGAGTACAGTAGAGTACAGCAGAGGTAGAGTACAGTAGAGTACAGCAGAGGTAGAGTACAGTAGAGTACAGTAGAGGTAGAGTACAGTAGAGTACAGTAGAGGTAGAGTACAGTAGAGTACAGTAGATGTAGAGTACAGTAGAGTACAGTAGAGGTAGAGTACAGTAGAGTACAGCAGAGGTAGAGTACAGTAGAGGTAGAGTACAGTAGAGTACAGCAGAGGTAGAGTACAGTAGAGGTAGAGTACAGTAGAGGTAGAGCACAGTAGAGTACAGTAGAGGTAGAGTACAGTAGAGTACAGCAGAGGTAGAGTACAGTAGAGGTAGAGTACAGTAGAGTACAGCAGAGGTAGAGTACAGTAGAGGTAGAGTACAGTAGAGGTAGAGCACAGTAGAGTACAGTAGAGGTAGAGTACAGCAGAGGTAGAGTACAGTAGAGTGTAGTAGAGTACAGCAGAGGTAGAGTACAGTAGAGTACAGCAGAGTACAGTAGAGGTAGAGTACAGTAGAGTACAGTAGAGGTAGAGTACAGTAGAGTACAGCAGAGTACAGTAGAGGTAGAGTACAGTAGAGTACAGTAGAGGTAGAGTGCAGTAGAGTACAGTAGAGGTAGAGTACAGTAGAGTACAGTAGAGGTAGAGTACAGTAGAGTACAGTAGAGTACAGTAGAGGTAGAGTGCAGTAGAGTACAGTAGAGGTAGAGTACAGTAGAGTACAGCAGAGTACAGTAGAGGTAGAGTGCAGTAGAGTACAGTAGAGGTAGAGTACAGTAGAGTACAGTAGAGGTAGAGTACAGTAGAGTACAGTAGAGGTAGAGTACAGTAGAGTACAGTAGAGTACAGTAGAGGTAGAGTGCAGTAGAGTACAGTAGAGGTAGAGTACAGTAGAGTACAGCAGAGTACAGTAGAGGTAGAGTACAGTAGAGTACAGTAGAGTACAGCAGAGGTAGAGTACAGTAGGGCCATGCTTAAAAATATTCTTGTTTGCCGTAACCCGACCGACCCTCTCAAATTAGGACCGACCCAATTATTTATTTTTTTCCCCTTTTAGTCCGACCGACTTGCCGGTTGTAAACTTGCATTAAGACCGACCGATTTTTTTTTTTACTCTTCAAACAACTAATACAAATGCAATAAAATAATATACATTTATTATAGTAAGTATTGTGAATATAAATTGCGTAGGCTACGTTCTTTCTTTTAAATAAAAACCCGTGGCGTCATCTATTATGATTATGTTTACACCATTGGTTTATGCATGTCACACTATGGCCTGTGCGTTCGCTTCGTTTCATTCACTGTCAATGGTTCGCGCTCGGTGATGATGGCTGCGGCGCGGCTGCTTGTGAAATACGTCTGTATGAGCCTACATTTAGTCGCTCATTATTCGAAATTCTTAATGGTCAAATAGGGAATCGATGTTAACGGCCTTTTCTCGGAGCCCGTCATGACATGCCCACCGCGAACGCGCGTCACACAGCAACTGCAGGCTCTGACAAACAAACACACATAAGTGTGGGAAGCCAAACACACCGAAAGGGGGACGAAACGGCGCGGTGTGTTACAGAGTTCGCGCTGCGCTGACTTGTAATCTGCGTGGCTCAATGGACCGAGACGCGCGAGCGCGACAGACTCGACAGCGCAGGAGAAGTGTTTGCTTGCGCCAGCCAATGGTCAGAGCGGCGCGAATTAATCTCACCAGCGCCGCACTGACCAATAAAACAGCACATCCCATACCGAAATGTACTAAATTGCACAAAAGAAAATCGACCATTCCATAATATGTCAGGACTACTTAATCGGCCTATAGTTTCCTACAATGCGCCTAGCTATTTGACCACACTGATTTCCGTTAATAATAGCAGATGTTTATGGGTCAAATCTCTCACTCTCTCCCTGCAACTTTTTGTTACCCTCCTTTCCTGCCCCTAGACCAGAAAGGGGGCTTGTAATAGTATGGGTCAAATGTAAACGAATGGTGCCAAACGCGCTGTTTTATTGGTCGGCGCGGCGCTGGTGAGATTAGTCATTTTAATTTATTTGTTTCCCTCTGAAAATCCACTTTCATTGAAATCTAGTGGCTCCTTTTTTTCTTTTGATTCTGCCTATTTTTTTCCAAATGAATGCAGCTGGAATTAATGCAATAAATATGTTTTTTTTTTTACAAAGATTTCAAATTGTTTGTGGTCTATGACCTGTATCAGAATGAGGTTCGCAATGGTGCGCCCGAAGGCATGGGGGTTGAAGACCCAGTCAGTGACGTCACGATATGCAAATTTGTTTAAATTCATACCGACCTAATCACCATGACCAAAATTATCCTTTTTTTTTTTACATTGAATCTTGAAAAAAAAATATATAGACCTACCTACCGACCCTTTTTTTTTTTTTTTTGCTGTTACTGCAAACCAAAATATTTTTAAGGATGGCCTAGAGTACAGTGGAGCACAGTAGAGGTAGAGTACAGTAGAGTACAGTAGAGGTAGAGTACAGTAGAGTACAGTAGAGGTAGAGTACAGTAGAGTACAGTAGAGGTAGAGTACAGTGGAGCACAGTAGAGGTAGAGTACAGTAGAGTACAGTAGAGGTAGAGTACAGTGGAGCACAGTAGAGGTAGAGTACAGTAGAGGTAGAGTACAGTAGAGTACAGCAGAGGTAGAGTACAGTAGAGTACAGTAGAGGTAGAGTACAGTAGAGTACAGTAGAGGTAGAGTACAGTGGAGCACAGTAGAGGTAGAGTACAGTAGAGGTAGAGTACAGTAGAGTACAGTAGAGGTAGAGTACAGTGGAGCACAGTAGAGGTAGAGTACAGTAGAGTACAGTAGAGGTAGAGTACAGTAGAGGTAGAGTAGAGGTAGAGTACAGTAGAGTACAGTAGAGGTAGAGTACAGTAGAGTATAGCAAAGGTAGAGTACAGTAGAGTACAGTAGAGGTAGAGTACAGCAGAGGTAGAGTGCAGTAGAGTGCAGTAGAGGAAGAGCACAGTAGAGTATAGCAAAGGTAGAGTACAGTAGAGTACAGTAGAGGTAGAGTACAGTAGAGGTAGAGTGCAGTAGAGTGCAGTAGAGGAAGAGCACAGTAGAGTACAGTAGAGGTAGAGTACAGTAGAGGAAGAGTGCAGTAGAGTGCAGTAGAGGAAGAGCACAGTAGAGTACAGTAGAGGTAGAGTACAGTAGAGTACAGTAGAGGAAGAGTACAGTAGAGGAAGAGTACAGTAGAGGTAGAGCACAGTAGAGTACAGTAGAGGTAGAGTAGAGGTAGAGTACAGTAGAGTACAGTAGAGGTAGAGTACAGTAGAGTACAGTAGAGGAAGAGTACAGTAGAGGAAGAGTACAGTAGAGGTAGAGTAGAGGTAGAGTACAGTAGAGTACAGTAGAGGTAGAGTACAGTAGAGTACAGTAGAGGTAGAGTACAGTAGAGTACAGTAGAGGTAGAGTACAGTAGAGGTAGAGTAGAGGTAGAGTACAGTAGAGGTAGAGTACAGTAGAGTACAGTAGAGGAAGAGTACAGTAGAGGAAGAGTACAGTAGAGGTAGAGCACAGTAGAGTACAGTAGAGGTAGAGTAGAGGTAGAGTACAGTAGAGTACAGTAGAGGTAGAGTACAGTAGAGTATAGCAAAGGTAGAGTACAGTAGAGTACAGTAGAGGTAGAGTACAGCAGAGGTAGAGTACAATAGAGTACAGTAGAGGTAGAGTACAGTAGAGGAAGAGCACAGTAGAGTACAGTAGAGGTAGAGTACAGTAGAGGAAGAGTGCAGTAGAGTGCAGTAGAGGAAGAGCACAGTAGAGTACAGTAGAGGTAGAGTACAGTAGAGTACAGTAGAGGAAGAGTACAGTAGAGGAAGAGTACAGTAGAGGTAGAGCACAGTAGAGTACAGTAGAGGAAGAGTACAGTAGAGTACAGTAGAGGAAGAGTACAGTGGAGGAAGAGTACAGTAGAGGTAGAGTACAGTAGAGTACAGTAGAGTACAGTAGAGTACAGTAGAGTACAGTAGAGCGCAGTAGAGTATAGTAGAGGTAGAGTACAGCAGAGGAAGAGCACAGTAGAGCGCAGTAGAGTACAGTAGAGGAAGAGCAAAGTAGAGCGCAGTAGAGTACAGTAGAGGTAGAGTACAGTAGAGGTAGAGCACAGTAGAGGTAGAGTACAGTAGAGTACAGTAGAGGTAGAGTACAGTAGAGGTAGAGTACAGTAGAGGTAGAGTACAGTAGAGGTAGAGCGCAGTAGAGTACAGTAGAGGTAGAGTACAGTAGAGGTAGAGTACAGTAGAGGTAGAGTACAGTAGAGGTAGAGTGCAGTAGACGTAGAGTACAGTAGAGTACAGTAGAGTATAGCAAAGGTAGAGTACAGTAGAGGTAGAGTACAGTAGAGGTAGAGTACAGTAGAGGTAGAGTACAGTAGAGGTAGAGTACAGTAGAGGTAGAGTGCAGTAGACGTAGAGTACAGTAGAGTACAGTAGAGTATAGCAAAGGTAGAGTACAGCAGAGGTAGAGTACAGCAGAGGTAGAGTACAGCAGAGGTAGAGTAGAGTAGAGTACAGTAGAGGTAGAGTACAGTAGAGGTAGAGTACAGTAGAGGTAGAGTACAGTAGAGTACAGCAGAGGTAGAGTACAGTAGAGGTAGAGTACAGTAGAGGTAGAGTACAGTAGAGGAAGAGTACAGCAGAGGTAGAGTACAGTAGAGGTAGAGTACAGTAGAGTACAGCAGAGGTAGAGTACAGTAGAGGTAGAGTACAGCAGAGTACAGTAGAGGTAGAGTACAGTAGAGGTAGAGTACAGTAGAGTACAGTAGAGGTAGAGTACAGTAGAGGTAGAGTACAGTAGAGGTAGAGTACAGTAGAGTACAGTAGAGGTAGAGTACAGTAGAGTACAGTAGAGGTAGAGTACAGTAGAGGTAGAGTACAGGTAGAGTACAGTAGAGGTAGAGTACAGTAGAGTACAGTAGAGGTAGAGTACAGTAGAGGAAGAGTACAGTAGAGTACAGTAGAGGAAGAGTACAGCAGAGTACAGTAGAGGTAGAGTACAGTAGAGTACAGCAGAGGTAGAGTACAGTAGAGGTAGAGTACAGTAGAAGAAGAGTACAGTAGAGGTAGAGTACAGTAGAGGTAGAGTACAGTAGAAGAAGAGTACAGCAGAGGTAGAGTACAGCAGAGGTAGAGTACAGTAGAGGTAGAGTACAGTAGAAGAAGAGTACAGCAGAGGTAGAGTACAGTAGAGTACAGTAGAGGAAGAGTACAGCAGAGTACAGCAGAGGTAGAGTACAGTAGAGGTAGAGTACAGTAGAGGAAGAGTACAGTAGAGTACAGTAGAGGAAGAGTACAGTAGAGGAAGAGTGCAGTAGAGGTAGAGTAAAGCAGAGGTAGAGTACAGTAGAGGTAGAGTACAGTAGAGGAAGAGTACAGTAGAGGTAGAGTACAGTAGAGAGACCCGGATGGTCTACTATTTCTGGTCAGAATCCGAAGTGCAGATTGATGTGCACGCTAACGGCTAATATTGCCCACAACCATTACACGCGTTGACTTGCGACTGAGAGCATGTCTGCTGTTACTCACCGATGATGATGTACTTGAAGATGTAGGAGTAGTTGTAGGGTGCAGTGGCCATCGCCGCTCTGAAACACACGTTACACATCAGACCACACACTAATAACAATCCCATATCACTACTGTAATATCCCAGAAGTGCAGTTACTAATAAACCAACATTAATTCAGACACCTTCAACATTTCTCACATTATCAGTTTATTCGCTATAGTTTAGAAAATGTTAATAAAATATGATAAATCAGTGGATATTTGACTGGTTTTGTCCGTCCTTCTGTTAGACTCTCACACATGAATTATGTTGAATATCTGTCAGCTGTTAAATTTAACTCCACAATTAGATAATACCAGTTTAGCTCAACCAGTGACCAAGCAATGCTTCATGTTGTTCAGTGTGTGTGTAAAAAGAGCATTAGCAGTTACAGAAAACACACTCCAGCAAAACATCATCAGCTCAAAGTGGAGGAATCATTTCTGCTCCTGAATGATTATAAATGTCACTGGTAGTCACTGTATGAAGAATATTAGGGTATAATATGTCACACTTTACTTTATTTTGCTCTCCTCACTTACAGAAATGAACTATAGTGTCCTGCACACACTAGTAGAAATATATCAAAAATTATATTTGGTGTCTGAATAATGTTAAATAATTAATTAATAATAATTAATGTTTAATAAAGCATTTAAAGACAGCATAAGACCCACACTGAGCAGAAATCAACACTGACACACATTCATAAGGACAGTCTGACTTCAATCATAATACACCATCATCATCATCAAATTCAAAATTGCTTTATTGGCATGAATGTAAATAATACAATACTGCCAAAGCTAGAAATACATAGAATAATAATAAAAACATCAAAATAATAGAAGAAAACATTGTGTAACATAACATAAATTTAAACAGTGTAACAAATTAGAACATGTGAACATTTGATTCACAGTGATTTAACAGATGACTGACAGATGGAAAAGCTCATTCTGCTTCACCTCGTTACGCGATATTACAGTGTGAAACTGGTAACATAATAATAATACATACAAATAAATAAGATGTGTGGGTGTCGCTGAAGCTCATCAACACAACACACTGCACTCACATTAACACACAGGCAGAATAACAGCTAGATTTTGTAAAAAAAAAAAAAAAAAAAATTGACTTTAAAATAACCTTTGAATGCTTTATTGAAGGAAGTTTTTGTAATGTTTGAGATGTGTTTTGTATTGATTGTTATGATGATTTGGAGCTTGTAACAGTAACTAGCGTGAGACTGTAACGCTGATCTGACACGCAATGTTGAGTAACAAAAGTTGGGTTTAGGGTTAGTTTGTTCTGTGTTTGAGATATTTTTTCGTTTTTTTTATCATTGTTATGATGATTTGGAGCTGCTAACGGCTAACTAGCGTGAGCTGCTAACGGCAGGTTCGCCGGTCCGTATTGACGGTAACGCTGAGCCGACACGTGATTTTAAGTACACACACGAGTCGAGTTTAGGGTCAGGGTCAGTTGCGTTGTGTGTCAGATGCATGTCCTCACCTGTAGTCGTGTGTGTTTGCTGTAAATCAGTGTGTTCAGATGATGATTATCCGGATTCTGGTCAAGATGGCGGCGGCACAAAGACTGGAGCGGTTCCGCGCCTCACCGCCAGGGGGCGCCAGAGGCCGCGCGCTTCACTCGCTCACCGGGAACTACAGTGGACCCGAGGGAAGGAAAACATTAGTCTGTTTTTATTTTCTCCTTCATCAAATCGCCAGTGTTGTCTGATAACCCTAGAAAGAACAACCCTACCAGAAGTCTCTTTAACCATAATGATAAATGCAGTAACCAACCGATTAGATCTCCCTTTGCTCATATCTCTTCTCCTCCATCTAATTTTGTTCGGGTTATATGTTTTATGTTTCCCTCATTTGAGTGGGAAAATTTTTGGGGAGTTCTTATTGTGTAACACATAAAACCAAAGAAGTGTCATTTAAAATTGCGCACAGAATATAAGATGTGAAAGACACATTAGAGCGTTTTCATCTGGATATTGAGTGTTTGCTGTTTTTGTCATTGTGAAAGAGAGTCTATTGTGCACTTTAGTTTATTTATGTCCCTGTTTATCAATCTTTGGTATGAGATGTCTCAATTTATAGGTGTTGAAATGATCTGTAATCTTCTTCATTCAAATGAATATGAGTTTTCCAGAAGAAAAATATGTTATTGATTAGTTTTTGTTATTAGGAAAGTTTTATATTCATCAAACTAAACGGAGTAACTCAAAACCCAAGTTTGCTAATTTTAAAGCAGCCTTTTAAATGTATTGAGATTATTTTTTAAATAGTTTTTAAAGAAAGTTTTTAAAAAATACAAAAAACTAAGAATTGTATCTCTGCTAAATTAATTTAACATATGTTTGTGATGCCCTTTATTTGTAAGTTTCTTTTTCCTTTTTTTCCTTTTTCCTCACTTTCAATTTACTCACAAAATGTGAAAATGTGTAAAAGAAATGTGTCAAGAACTTGATATTGAATTCTGTAATTTTGAAAATTAAAAAAATAAATAATAATAATTAGATTATTATTCGTCAGAGACGTAAAAATCGTCAGTGAAGGAGATTGCTGAACTACAACCTCAAGTGAGCGGTTTCATGAAGCTTGTTTCCGCCAGAGAATAAAAAAAGGTAATTGCGACTCTTTATCTCACAATTTTGACTTTTTATCTCCGAATTGCATGTTTATATCTCGCAATTCTGACTTTATAACACTCAATTGGGAGATAAAAAAGTGTTATAAAGTCAGAATTGTGAGAAATAAACTCGCAGTTCTTAGGGAAAAAGTCCCTAATTGGACTTTATAACTCACAGTTCTGAGGAAAGATGTCCGAATTGCCACGTATGAACTAAGAAAAGAAGTCGCAATTATCTTTTAAAATGTTTTATTCTGTGGCTGAAACAAGCTTCCATCGTTTCATTTATAAATTCATCCTAAAATATTATTATTTTTTAAATAAATATTATTTATTTAGGCTTAACTCTTGTAAAGAAAGGTCCACTAGTGTGTGTGCGGTGCTCTTATTATAACACACACTCTTATTAAGGTTCTTTATTGGTTCCATGTAAAACCTTTAAAGTCCCCATGAAACCAAAACTGAAGGTTTTTGGCTTTGAGTATGTTAGCGTTACTGTTATGCTAGTGCTCCGAAACAATGATACAATTCATTTGATGACATCACTGCACTTCAGCTTCTCATCAGATTTTCTGTCCAATCGAATTCTCTCTATAACCTAAGCTCCGCCCCCTACATTATAAACAGAGCTGCCGCTGACATCGGTCACTTGTTCACGCTTTTACTGTTTCCTACATGCCGAAGTGCACTCTATAGGGGATATTTCCTCGCTGTAGTTAAAACATTAAAACACAGCATTCCTCAGGAAAAGTGTTCAAAGCAGCGCATCCACTGCTAATATCTCTCTTTATTAGAATATAAAACATGTTGAAACTTCTCGGTAATGATTTCTGTATGGCTCTCTGACGCGGCGACGGCTCTCTCAGTGTGTGTGTGTGACGCGGCGACGCCTCTCTCAGTGTGTGTGTGTGACGCGGCGACGGCTCTCTCAGTGTGTGTGTGTGTGACACGGCGACGGCTCTCTCAGTGTGTGTGTGTGACGCGGCGACGGCTCTCTCAGTGTGTGTGTGTGTGACGCGGCGACGGCTCTCTCAGTGTGTGTGTGTGTGACGCGGCGACGACTCTCTCAGTGTGTGTGTGTGACGCGGCGACGACTCTCTCAGTGTGTGTGTGTGACGCGGCGACGCCTCTCTCAGTGTGTGTGTGTGACGCGGCGACGGCTCTCTCAGTGTGTGTGTGTGACGCGGCGACGGCTCTCTCAGTGTGTGTGTGTGACGCGGCGACGGCTCTCTCAGTGTGTGTGTGTGTGACGCGGCGACGACTCTCTCAGTGTGTGTGTGACGCGGCGACGGCTCTCTCAGTGTGTGTGTGACGCGGCGACGGCTCTCTCAGTGTGTGTGTGTGACGCGGCGACGGCTCTCTCAGTGTGTGTGTGTGACGCGGCGACGGCTCTCTCAGTGTGTGTGTGTGTGACGCGGCGACGGCTCTCTCAGTGTGTGTGTGTGTGACGCGGCGACGACTCTCTCAGTGTGTGTGTGTGACGCGGCGACGACTCTCTCAGTGTGTGTGTGTGACGCGGCGACGGCTCTCTCAGTGTGTGTGTGTGACGCGGCGACGGCTCTCTCAGTGTGTGTGTGTGTGACGCGGCGACGACTCTCTCAGTGTGTGTGTGTGACGCGGCGACGGCTCTCAGTGTGTGTGTGTGACGCGGCGACGCCTCTCTCAGTGTGTGTGTGTGACGCGGCGACGGCTCTCTCAGTGTGTGTGTGTGACGCGGCGACGGCTCTCTCAGTGTGTGTGTGTGACGCGGCGACGGCTCTCTCAGTGTGTGTGTGTGACGCGGCGACGACTCTCTCAGTGTGTGTGTGTGACGCGGCGACGGCTCTCTCAGTGTGTGTGTGTGACGCGGCGACGGCTCTCTCAGTGTGTGTGTGTGACGCGGCGACGGCTCTCTCAGTGTGTGTGTGTGACGCGGCGACGACTCTCTCAGTGTGTGTGTGTGTGACGCGGCGACGACTCTCTCAGTGTGTGTGTGTGACGCGGCGACGACTCTCTCAGTGTGTGTGTGTGTGACGCGGCGACGGCTCTCTCAGTGTGTGTGTGTGACGCGGCGACGGCCCTCTCAGTGTGTGTGTGTGACGCGGCGACGGCCCTCTCAGTGTGTGTGTGTGACGCGGCGACGGCTCTCTCAGTGTGTGTGTGTGTGACGCGGCGACGGCTCTCTCAGTGTGTGTGTGTGACGCGGCGACGACTCTCTCAGTGTGTGTGTGTGACGCGGCGACGCCTCTCTCAGTGTGTGTGTGTGACGCGGCGACGCCTCTCTCAGTGTGTGTGTGTGACGCGGCGACGGCTCTCTCAGTGTGTGTGTGTGACGCGGCGACGACTCTCTCAGTGTGTGTGTGTGTGACGCGGCGACGGCTCTCTCAGTGTGTGTGTGTGACGCGGCGACGGCCCTCTCAGTGTGTGTGTGTGACGCGGCGACGGCTCTCTCAGTGTGTGTGTGTGTGACGCGGCGACGGCTCTCTCAGTGTGTGTGTGTGACGCGGCGACGACTCTCTCAGTGTGTGTGTGTGACGCGGCGACGGCTCTCTCAGTGTGTGTGTGTGACGCGGCGACGGCTCTCTCAGTGTGTGTGTGTGTGACGCGGCGACGGCTCTCTCAGTGTGTGTGTGTGACGCGGCGACGCCTCTCTCAGTGTGTGTGTGTGACGCGGCGACGGCTCTCTCAGTGTGTGTGTGTGACGCGGCGACGGCTCTCTCAGTGTGTGTGTGTGACGCGGCGACGGCTCTCTCAGTGTGTGTGTGTGACGCGGCGACGGCTCTCTCAGTGTGTGTGTGTGACGCGGCGACGGCTCTCTCAGTGTGTGTGTGTGTGACGCGGCGACGGCTCTCTCAGTGTGTGTGTGTGACGCGGCGACGGCTCTCTCAGTGTGTGTGTGTGACGCGGCGACGCCTCTCTCAGTGTGTGTGTGTGACGCGGCGACGGCTCTCTCAGTGTGTGTGTGTGACGCGGCGACGGCTCTCTCAGTGTGTGTGTGTGACGCGGCGACGGCTCTCTCAGTGTGTGTGTGTGAGGCGGGGACGCCTCTCTCAGTGTGTGTGTGTGACGCGGCGACGGCTCTCTCAGTGTGTGTGTGTGACGCGGCGACGGCTCTCTCAGTGTGTGTGTGTGACGCGGCGACGGCTCTCTCAGTGTGTGTGTGTGACGCGGCGACGGCTCTCTCAGTGTGTGTGTGTGACGCGGCGACGGCTCTCTCAGTGTGTGTGTGTGACGCGGCGACGGCTCTCTCAGTGTGTGTGTGTGACGCGGCGACGGCTCTCTCAGTGTGTGTGTGTGACGCGGCGACGGCTCTCTCAGTGTGTGTGTGTGACGCGGGGACGCCTCTCTCAGTGTGTGTGTGTGACGCGGCGACGACTCTCTCAGTGTGTGTGTCTCTCAGTGTGTGTGTGTGACGCGGCGACGGCTCTCTCAGTGTGTGTGTGTGACGCGGCGACGACTCTCTCAGTGTGTGTGTGTGACGCGGCGACGGCTCTCAGTGTGTGTGTGTGACGCGGCGACGGCTCTCTCAGTGTGTGTGTGTGACGCGGCGACGGCTCTCTCAGTGTGTGTGTGTGACGCGGCGATGGCTCTCTCAGTGTGTGTGTGTGACGCGGCGACGGCTCTCAGTGTGTGTGTGTGACGCGGCGACGGCTCTCTCAGTGTGTGTGTGTGACGCGGCGACGGCTCTCTCAGTGTGTGTGTGTGACGCGGCGACGACTCTCTCAGTGTGTGTGTGTGTGACGCGGCGACGGCTCTCTCAGTGTGTGTGTGTGACGCGGCGACGGCTCTCTCAGTGTGTGTGTGTGACGCGGCGACGGCTCTCTCAGTGTGTGTGTGTGACGCGGCGACGACTCTCTCAGTCTGTGTGTGTGACGCGGCGACGACTCTCTCAGTGTGTGTGTGTGTGACGCGGCGACGACTCTCTCAGTCTGTGTGTGTGACGCGGCGACGGCTCTCTCAGTGTGTGTGTGTGACGCGGCGACGGCTCTCTCAGTGTGTGTGTGACGCGGCGACGGCTCTCTCAGTGTGTGTGTGTGACGCGGCGAC